TGTTCTTGAGAGACCAGCCAATTAGTTCGTTATCAGGCTGAGCTAGAGAGAAAGGAAGCACCCACTCTGCAAGCAGTGCTGAGTTCAAAAGCGGTTTTAGTACCAAGTCACAATATTATTAACCTTTCTTTCTGCAGAGGACTGCCTGTTTACATCTATTTCTTAAAAAGTTTCAAGTGTAAGAGTATAACATCTCACCTCGGCTTACAAGGACTATTGACTAAAACTTTCCTAAAAAAATCTAAATAAATTCTCCCCCTCTCTTCTCTCATAGCCACTGCTTTGTTAACCAGTTTCCACCAATTCTAAGGCTTGATGGCATTTTACAGAGGGCCATGCATTTCCACAGGGCACAACCAACATGACTGGCCCAAAAGGACTTGCAATAAAGGCAGACAGTAGTTCAAACAAAGGGGAGAAGGCAAAGGAGGAAGAAAGGGAATTGATTACGGAAACATACTTGAAAGGGATGGGTTTTGGAAAGTGGGAAGAAAGGGCTCTTATCACTCAGACTAGATGCAGGAAATGGCTCCAAATGCAAGGGGTAACATGAAATGGCCCACGGAGGCAGGAGTGGAAAGAGCTGATGAGAACAGCACGGATAACTAGCAAGGGGTCAGGAAGGAAGACTGTGACAAAATGGTGATGTATGCTAGGGCAAGATAACATACACGATTAAAGACGAGAATGAGGCTGAGATTGATAGGAAGGCTTTAAAGAGATTGAAGGAGAGGTGCGAGAGCACTATGTGCTTCAGACAAAAAAAACCTGAGAATGGAAGCTAGGAAAGGACATCGAAACAGATTTTGGCAATGAAAAGTAAGTGGGGGAAAAAAAGGGAGGGTAATATTTGAGAGGAAGAAGCAAACAGAAATTCAAGAAACAGTTCCTCGTAAAGCCGGAAGGAGCAGAGGCAAATGGTAACCCTGAAACTAAAGATATAGGAGGGATGTTAGAGAAGACAGCAATGACAGAGAATGGACAGTACGCTCTGTGGACAAGTCCAGAAGGAGAACGGATTCCCCTCTGCCTCCCGCATGGCCTTTGCTTGCAAGAAGCCATTAGTATGATTGATAAACATTAGTTATAGTAGAGGTGAAATCTAGACTAGCAAGCAAGCCTCAGCTATATGTTCTATTATTTCAGTAAAACCAGGGGGGATAGAGAGAAAGAGGGCAGTAATTAGAGAGGACATAGATGAGATGAGGTTCTCTCAAATTGGGGATGAAAAAGGTGTGCTTGTAAAGCAGATGCAAAGGATTGGTAGGAGAGACAACTGTTAAAGGAGCAGAGGTAGAAAAAAAGATGGAAGAATCAGTAAGGGATGACAGAAGGTGGGAGGTGGACAAAGGCAGAGAGACCTGAACCAGGAAAGAAACCACTGCTCAGGAGTTAATGAGAAAAGAGCGAGGATACCTGGAAGCTAAAGAGAAGAAATGGAAAGAAGGGGCAGGACGCAAGAAAAATCCTCTTCCTAAGACAGTAGTTTAAAAAAAAGAAAGAAAAAAAAAAAAAAGAAAAGAAAAGTCAAGCTGTAGAGGCTGGAGGCAGATGGCTTGGAAGGTGGTTAAAAGAAATACAAATACACAATGGATGGCACCTGGCTGGACGGGAGTACTACAGAGAAGGATCTGGGAGTCTTGGTAGATCAAAGACTCAACACGCATCTACAGCGTGATGCAGTCACACAAAAAGGCAACTGCAGTTTTGGGATGCATCAATAGGAGCATTAGGCGCAAGACACAGGAGGCGATAGTGCCTCTGCTTGGCGCTGGTCAGACCTCATGTAGAGTACCGTGTGCAGTTTTGCACTCCACATTTTAAAAAAAAGGACATGGAGAAGTTAGAGGGGGTCCGAGACAGGCAACAAAATTGAATAAGGGCTTGGAAGTCAAGCTATAAGCAGAGCTTGAAAGAAAAAGGCGTGTTCAGGTAGCAGAAAAGACACTCAAAAGGGGACATGACAGCAGTCTTCAAATATCTGAATGGTTGTCATGAAGAAGAGAGGAAAATACTTTTTCTCTCTTGCTGCAGAGAGCAGAACACAGACCAATGGCTTAAAGATGCAGCAAAGGAGATTAGATGGGATATCAGGGAAAATGTCATTGTTAGAAGGGTGGAACAGACTACAAAGCAGGGCTGTGCGAAATTTTGCCGGGTGTTTTGTTTCGAAGCTGTTTTGACGCGTTTCGAGCATGAAACAGCAAACTCGAAATGAAAGAAAAGCCTTCAAAACAAAACGAGGGCACTTGAAATGTTTCGAGTTTTGAAGTCGGTCTCACCTGGCTTCAGCACTCATCCCAGCCGGCAGTGACAGCCTGCTGTCATCCCTTGTGCAGATCCGGAGGCTGTGCCCCCCGCAGAGGAGTCTGGCACAGCCCCTCAGCCCTCCTGAGATCTGCGCGCTGGATGACAGGAGGCTGCCGCTGTCGCCTGAGACCAGCACTGGGCACAGCCCATGCCCAGCACCAGGAAGACTGCTGCTTCTGGCCCCAGGCAGCAGCAGCAGCTTCCTGTCACCCCGCATGCAGATCTGGGGACTCGCACCCCCGGGTGGGCTGCATGGCTGGCAGAGCCGCTTGGAGTACAGCCTGATAGCGGGAGACAAGGGAGAGCCAGAGCTGTGCTCCGCCAGCCCCACGGAGTTCAGCCCAGTGGCAAGAGGCAGAGAGCCAGTGGTGGAGCCGCTCCAAGCGCAGCCCTGGCCAGTGGCTCTCCCCTGCCTTCTGCCACCGGGCTGAGCTCTGTGGGGCTGGTGAAGCTGCTCAGAGAACAGCCCTGGCAAGCACAGCCTGGCGGCTGGAGGCTCCACAGCCCCACAGAGCTGAGCCCAGCAGCAGGAGGCAGGGGACAGCCACTGGCCAAGGCTGCGCTCAGAACCAGGGTTGCACTCGAAGCGGCTCCACCACTGGCTCTCCCCTGCCTCCCACCGCTGGTCTCAGCTCCGAGGGGCTGGAGGAGCACAACCCTGGCTCTCCCCGACCTCCCACCACTGGGCTGCACTCCAAGCGGCTCCAACCAGCCCCACAGAGCTCAGCCCCACAGCCCTCCCAGGGGTGCGGGCCCCCAGACCTGTGCACAGGGTGACAGGAGGCTGCCGCTGCCGGCAAGTGACACGAGTTTTTCTGGTCAGCAGCCTGAGGAGCATTTCCCAGAAACCCCTGCACCTATCTCCTTGAAAGCTGGCAGGCTTCATGGCCTCAGCAGGGGCTACTATGCCTGCAGTTTTCACCCCACTGTATCTTAACACGATACATTTTGCTTTCAAGACTTAGGTGCAGAAGTTTCTGGGAAACTGCACCTCAACCTCCTTGAAACTTGGCAGGCTTCCTGGTCTCAGATGGGGCTACCATTCCTGCAAGTTTCATCCAAATCAAGCAAGAAACGACAATGTTATAGGCAGTTTTGTGCTTCCCCATTATAGCCTACGGGCAAGACATCGAAACAGTTTCGAAAAAACGAAACGGAACAGAACAGGGGTTTCGAAACGAAACTAAACATTGTCCCATTGAAACAGAAATCAAAACGAAACAGTGCTTTTTCGCACAGCCCTAGTGCATAGTGAAGTTGTGGACTATCCATCATCGGAGGTGTTCAAGAAGAGTTTGGACAAGCACTGGTCAGGGATGATCTAGGAGGAGCTATGTCTATGCCCTATTGATTTTTCCCCCATGCTTCTCAGCTTTGCTGGCTGCTACATGGGACCAGGAGTAAGTCTACCCCATCTACTGCTATATGTGTTGGGGAAGTTTTATTCATGTTCCTCAAAAGCACAGGATGCTGGCTGCAGCCAAGGTTGGGGAGTTTCGAAAGATGTGCCAATGCTCCTGCTGGGACTTAAACCCTGAAGTTCAGGAAAGAATTTTACCCCATGGTCAGATTGGTATGCATTATGGGGGTTTTTGACCACTCTGTAGTGGGGGGCATGGCCTTCTTCTCCAGATCTCTCAAGTGCATTTTAACAACATTGCTGCAGCTGAGCATTGGCTACCACATTCCCCCATGCCTTACCTGTAGCAGGTCAGGGTGTTTTGTTTTGTGGGTGTGCTTGTCTAACCTATCAACACAATTACAGTCAACACCAATGGATTTGTATAGGACAGTTTGGATAGGGATGATCCTGCCTCATGCAAGAGGTGGATTAGATGACCTCTGGAGGCCCCTTCCAGTCCTACTTGTCTACGATTCTACAAAAAGGTCAAAGAAAGAGGACAGTCAACTGGGAAAAGAGCACTAGAGCTGGTCAGGAAGAAAACCCATTAAATGTTTACACAAAGCTGGGTGGAAACTTCAGCAATCTGAATAAGAATGAAGGTCATAAATGCAGGATAAAACCCAGCCTGAGGATTAAAATGCTAAGGAGCATGGGAAGAAGCAATGGTATCGAGTGAGCTGAAAGGAAGAAGGTACCTTCAAAACGGAACAACAGGTGGGGAAAGGGAGGTTAGAGACCCAGAGTCGATGTTGGGAATAAACTGCTTTGCTGCTCTCAACTTAAGTGGTTGATGAGACAGAAAGGTCAGGAAAGAAGAGTATGAGAACAGCATAAAAGCAAGACAGAAAAACAATACTGCAGGAGAAGAGCAAGCACTAGGAATTAAGATAAAGATCTATGTATCTAGACACAGACTGCTGATCCAGCTGACTCTAACTGACAACTGTCCATCAGTGTTAAGTAACAGTCTTCAAATACAAAAAAAAAAAAAAAAAGGTTGTTATAAAGAGAATCGCTGTCAGTTGTTCAGTATTGAAGAGGGACTGGACAAGAAGTAATGAGTTTAAAACTGCAACAAAGAAGATTTAGATCAGATACCAATGGTCAGGCACTGGAACAGACTCCCTGGAGAGGCTGGAGTACAATTTTCATCCCTAGAAGTTTTAAATGAAGATGATACCATATGTTTGTCAGGAAAATTTAGCTAGATAACTCTGCCCTAAGCAGGGTGCTGGACCTCCTCAGGTCTCCATCTAGCTCCGTTTTTATGAGAACACCATCTTACCAACATGTCTGTCGCACTGAGGTAGTGCTTGCTGGCCATGCACTGTTCCAGTTTCTGGGGCACTTGCTTGATGTTCTCGATCTCATCCAGCAAATTCAAGACATGCTTGTGCTCAATCCCCTCGATCCACAACTTGCGCAGTTCATCCCGCTTGCAGTGCAGCAGCATCTTGCACGACAGCAGATTCTCTTTCACCTGCAAGACAACATGGTGAAGATGTCATTCATGTCCCTTCTTTTGGAGCCTGCCCCTCACTCACCTCATCCAGCATACTAAACCACCCCCTACTATTCTCCACTCGCCCAAAGGAATCACAGTCCACAAACAGTAGCTACCCCCAAAGGAAACCAGAGCAAAATGGGTTGCTGGGGCACAATATATATTTTTGTGCCATTAGCGTGTTTTTTACTGAAGAAGCTTAATGGGATTCCACACATGTTTGTCTTCACACCGTGACTAAAGATTTACTTGCAGCTGTTGCCAACGTTGATTCAGCATTTAGGCATGAAACAGGAAGGCAATTGTTTAGTGAAAGCAAATAAATCGCTACTATTTTGTTCCTTTGTAAACGTTTTCTGTCTGCCTATTAAACCTCTGTGGCATCTCTCCTCCTCCTTGCTAACTACTGGGTTTCCATGTTGTGGCAACTAACAATACAGAAGGATACCTAAGTGCTTGGGCAACAACAGATTTACTTGCAGGAGATGGAGATTACCTAATGGTGCGACTAACAAAAGAGTGCCGGAAAGGACTGTGCTTAGAATAAAATGCAGGTCAGCATCTCCAGTACACAGAGACACTATAACACTCAGAAAAACAGCTCGTGCCTGCCACATGTGTAGTTTAAAAGTCTCGAGCTGTCTATCAACATAGTAAAGTTTTGGCTTTCCTACGACATCCCCAATGGAGGGAATCACGAACCACTTTGTCCCATGCTCACTGCTTCCATCCACCGTTTTCAACTCTAACTTCTGAGCTAAGCTTGATATAACCTGACTTTTTCTTGCATGTCAAAAGCAGAAGCAAATAAATGATCACATACATGCCTTACAAGCAGTGAACAATTAACACCACTTAACTTCGCGCACAGCTTTTCAAATCAACTACTTGGTTTTGCAATGAACTATGAATATGCAGGCCCTAACCATCTCCCAAGCAGAGCTCTAACCAACTTCACTGAATTGCATAAGCAGTGAGACTGCGGTGTCAAGACCCTTGCATTTATTTTTAAGCAGTGGAGTGCACACAGTTCGCTCAAAACAACACCTCCACTGCCACTTTTTCCTTCTAGCCTCCGTTGAATGAATGGGGAGACATCCCCAACCATACAAATAGACCCAAAGACAGACAACTGATAACAGAAAAGACATAGGGGGTGAAAATGTAGGCAGAACTAAAAACGCATTTCAGTACACGCCTTAAGACTAACGCTCCGAAAATGTGCGTGTCAAAAGCCCAGTTTCCAAAAGGCAAAATTCTAGAGAGTTCAGAAATCAGAGTTGTATTTAAATATAACTTTACCCTTTGGGAAACTGGTATAACCTGATGTCCCATAACTTGCTAGAAGAGCAGAGACCAACTGAATTTCATAAATATTACATGTTGGAAATAGCCCCTCCTACACACCTTAAACTGGAACGTTACTGCCAACCCAAAGAATTATCCTTAACAACGTTACATGGGTTATATTTTGTGTACAGCAGCAGTAAGATGGGGAGAGCGCTGATCCTGGAAATTAAAGCTGTGCTGAGAGCAAAATCACTAACTGCATCCATCTCTTTTGTGTTAGGTCTGAATTCTCAGTTTATTCACCCCTGTTAAAGTTAACAGATGGGTGATGGTGTTTTTCTGGATTACTGCAAATAATGTTGGTGGGGAGAAGATTTTTTTTTTTTTTAACCAAAAAATATCACAGAAATATAGGCTGGAAGGATCTCTAGAGGTCATCTTGCCCAACCCCTGGCACTGAGTCAGAATTAAATATATCTAGATTTGAAAAAAAAAGACAGCAAAAATGTGAAAACTATCTTTTTTTTTATTTTTAGGAAAGAAAATATGCGGCTGTAGAGGAGGGCATGCTCATTCTCCATCACACTGTTACCTACACTGGTGAAGTTAATGGAGTTAAATCCAGATATGCGAGGCCACAATCTGACACGGATACTCTGCGCAAATCAGTACGAGGTCTGTAAGATAAGCTTTCCTTCTATCAGCATGGGGATAGCAGACAACTAGACACTGCCAAAGAAGTTTGGTTTTACATGAGCATTTCCTTGCCGTAGGTTATTCGAGTGTGACCACCCACAAAAAAGGAGAGAAAGAGCAAAATGGAAATGTAATGGAATGAAGATGGGATGTAATGCAGACCGCTGGCAAATTGAGTCCAGCATCAGATCTGGTGCCTCCCATGAGACTGGGGCAAAGTTCCTTCATTACATGCCCAAAACTAATCAGAAAATCTAAGTATTAAAATATCCTTCCCCTCACAGAGATTCCACTAGGTAGAAGCCAAGGTCATAATCCCCATATGTTGGTTTTTGACCTTTGCACAGCCCAGTACACTGGGTAAAAATAGGCTATAAGTCATAGTTTATTTCAAATTTAGAACAATATTGATCTCTGCCTTCACAGTGTTGAGCTTGGTACATAAATCCTAGAATGAACTCTTACCCTTGGAAGGGAGCAGAGTGGTCTCCTTCCCTTTGAAAATGCTAAATGCATTTGAAAAGCCAAAAGGGTCAGTGTGCTGTTGCAGAAGGGTCACAGCTTACTGCTCAAAAAAGGTTTCAAGTCACAATCCCATAATTCTAGTAAAAAAAAATGCACATATCTTGTTTGCAAAGCTGTAGTGTGATAATCCAAAAAGCAAGTAAAATATGGGCCAGCACAGCAGAAAAATTGTTAATTGCTGCAAGAAGCAGAACTTGGGATAGGGAGCAGTATAGTGCACGCTCACACCAATGGTAAGTGTCACAAATACCTCCTGGTGTGGAAATAAAGAGTTAAGAAGTGCCTAGGGTTCAAAATGTAAGACCTTCTGACGGTACAGCATGATATGCTGGCCCATGAAAGAACCAAGTTTGCACCTGACGTCAAGATGCATGTTGTCTGGGCCACTAAGGATCTCATAATGTTACGAAGATGACTTAATATGTGACGAGAGACCACACTAATGGGCAAAATATGAGCACCTAAATGCACTAGATAGGAGAGACGTTGGAGTAACTTAAGACAGATCCACTAGTCAAATCACAAACAGGGCAGATCCTCCCTGTTTTATACTAGCTAGACACTAGCCCATATAGCTAACTCCGATACTATCTTCAAAGCTGAAACCTAATGGTACCTACCTATTTCAGTGCGTGGCTCAGCACCTGCTAATCACAAGTAGCAATAGAAAAACAAATAAAAGGAGTGAATAATGGCTAAAAATCTTGATGCTATTTTCACACTAACAGGAAAGGGATAGCAAGTAGCCCCGGTGGAGGAGTAACACAAAATCAGGCCTTGTGCAATGCTGGCCTTCACCTGCTTGATCTTGTTGCGGGAGTTGGTGATACGCTCCGTGATGCTCTGGTAGGTGCGGATTGCTGTGGTGAGCTCAGTGTAGTGCTGCACAATAAGGTCATCCAAATCCCGGTCACACTTCTCATACGCTTCTTCCAAACGGCCCTTCTCAGTCTCTCTGTCCTCAACATCATCGCTGGTGGACAGTGTCCTAACAAGGTCAAAACAACAGCAGTTTAGCAGTGATGTACCAGTACAAGCAGTCGCCAATCTATAATATACCCTTAGACGCAACCACTCCGTTATTCTTCAAAAGGTCCCCGAGACTGGTCTCTCGTTAAAATGCCTGTATGAGGTTTCGTGGAGATCCAGCCACAAACACGTACGTTGCATGACACAAATATATATATTTTTTAAGTCCTTCAACACGTTCCTTGCTGCTAAGTTTTCATACAATGTTGGATTCACGGAAGGGAAAGCGCCATCCCCCTCCCCTGCACCTTGATCTGTTAGTGGCTATAGTTCACACAGCTTCATTTATTCGCATCAGACAAGTCAGAAAATACATGCAATACATTTATTACCATTTATCTTCTGTAACTTTTGCTAAAAAATCTTAAATCTTGACGATCTAGCAACAGGACAAGGAGGAAAGCGAACCGCTGACTCGCTACAATTGCCAATAAGCCTATGGAGTTTGTTCACTGAGGTTTTGGCACTCTTGGGTAGAGGCTTGGAAGAGGACTAAGAACATGCACACGCACACTACCACGAGGTACACGGGGGAGTGGGATCTTACTAAGCGTCTATGGCTCGGCAGTCACGGCCTACGTTCATGCTTATAATGCACGGCAGACGATACCTAACCCTACAACCGCTTGGCTCTCAGTAAACGAGGGGTAAAAGTGTGAAAAGGCACCGACTGCGATAAAGCCCTACCTACTTCAACCTTGCAGCGGTCATTACCCTAATGCTGATCTGCGCTACGGGGAAAGGCCCAGGAACCAGTCCTGAAGTGTCAATAGCAACCACTCGTATTAGCTATTTAATGGAAGACGGGGTGGGGCTAGTTTTCAGAAAGTGCTGAGCACGTTTCTAAAAATAAGGCCCCATTAGAAAAGACCCTATGATAGAACTCCAAAGGAAAAAAAAAAGTACAAGTTACATGTGAAAATGTAGGCCATGCTTTACAAGCTGGAAATCTGAGTCTCCCACGCACGGAGTGTTGCACTCACGTGATGAGATAGGCTCACATCTTTTAAGTGATAGTAGACAACTCCAGAGCAGTTCTTGTTCTCAGCTCTGAAGACACAGCACCAATAATCAAGACCCAGGAGTGAAAGCGCTTGCTGATTTCTTTTCTGGGGCTGTTCAGACATTTCAGAGCAGCAGGTCAAGGGGTTTGAGGGGGGCAGCGGGGCTGGAAATCACTGAATGTCACCGCCGCTCTCTGCTACTGTGCAATTTGGGTTGCACTTCAGACTTGTTAAAGCAACATGGCCTCGACAAACTAAACTAGTGTCTCCCGAAGCAATGGAAGTGAGAAAATGAAACCAGTTATTTAGGAAAATCGTCTCATCATTTGACAGTAACGGGAGCCCTAGGATTGAGTGAAAAGTAAGAGAAAACTCCTGGCGTGTATTTGAAAGGTAGCAAACAGCAAAGAGAGAAACGATGCATTTAGGGTGTTAACAAGGGAGGCAACTTTAGGAAGGAGGAGTAAAAGGAAAAGACTAAATATTTAAAAAAAAATATGCCTAACAAGATCTGCTAGACTGAAACACTCTCGAGGAAAGCAGTAGAAACCCTATCATTTGAATTACTTCAACAAGACTGAACAAAGCACTAAAGCACACACAGAAAACTCTTTATATGCCTCCAGGAAAGTTAACAGATAGGGTCCAGAGCCTCCAATTCCTCAAAGAGTCCTACCATTCAGAGACCCAAAAAGGCTCCTCTCTTTCCATATACTTGGAGTCAGATCATGATCCCAGGCCACAGCAAGGGTATCTTAATTCAAGAGGCAGAATATTAGCTCACAAAGCACTCAGAGAGGAAAGAGTGGTTGCAATTATACCCATCTGATCCCACTGCAAAAGGAAAAAAAAAATTTAAAAAAGAAAGCCTCAGTGGGTAGGGTGTATTCTGGACACACCTCTACAGGAAAACACCAAGTTGAGAGGCTATTTTTGAAAAACAGTGCAAACAGGACATTTGTTAACTCCATCCTTCTCTTGGCACTTACGGGGGCCAACAGGCCTCACCAAATAATTTTTGGAATAAGTATAGATGACCACACTGATCAACAATAGTTCTACTAAAAGTAGTAGCAGTTTCCCAATCAAAATGTGGCTAATCATTGGAATCTATACTGCTAAACAGCGAGATGTTGATGTAATTAAATATCCAAATTAAAAAACAGGAAAATACAAAAACTTGTAATTTGGCATCGATGTCATTTCTTCTTTTCAATATTTTTCAGTTCCGTACTTCTGAATTGGTATCATATTTTGATCTTTGAATAAATTTCCACCATTGCAATTTCTTTTGTCCAGTTCTGGAATAAAAAACAAAGCATCAAAAGTAATAAAAATTTCCTACGGGACAGAATTTAATTTTCCACACAACTCTGTCAAAAAAACCCCAAAAACTGGCCCCATTTCCCTTGACAGATGGTAGTGAGGAAGAAAAAACAATTCCTTAAAATGCAGCAGCTGAAAGACGTTACTGAGCCAACAGAGTCCTTTACAAACCACTTCAATGAAACTCTTAAATTTTGCAAATAAAACTCATTCATAAAAGGAAAATCCAGGTCCAGAATCAAGCCCTCCTTTACAATAACTTTTACAGCATTGGGTAGGTACACAAAAGGAGTTTTTTGCTTTCTTCTAAAAAAAGGCAACTAGTCAGCCACCAAAAGGCAGAATACCAGATGTGATACAAGAGCTGGTGGAGTTCTGGGATGTTGGTACATAGAAAGGGTTCTTTCTTCTTTTTTTTTTTTTTTTTTTTAAAGGGATCTGGGTTTGGTCCAATTTGGGGGAAAACCAAACATGGTCAGAATTTCACATCACCTGAACGATAACAGCTTCAGTTAAATGGATTTCCTTCAACATTAAGTTCCATTTGCCACGATGGGAGCCACAGAATAAATGAGAATTCACAGCTAAATGTTTGGGCATATTTTTAACATCAGCTATATGATTTCACTCAACTTCTTGTAGCTGGACTCTAACAGCTGGTATGACGTTTTAAAACCTATTTAATATCCTTTTCCTATACTTGTGTGTTTGATCAAAGACAGGCAGCATTATCAGAGTGGGGTTTTCTCTAGTTCCTTAATAGGAAAGCTGCCAAGTTATGAAACAAGTTTGGGTTCAGAAGCTGGGTTATAGCTGGTCATTGTAGACACCTGGATCAACATGGGAGGAAAGAGGATTAGAAGAGTCAACCATTTTGGGCAAGTACAGTCAAAACGCCCAAGGCTGAATTGATCCAATCTTTGCAGGTTAGTCTAAGCTGCGGAGATTGAACCAAGAAGCAAGTGAACAGACATTCACTTTTGATTCAGCCACACACCTGCAGTGGTGCAGGCCAGAAGCTGGGGATCGCTAGAGAAAGCCTTCCCTTCCTCTGGACAGTGGCCAGAAGGCTGGAGGGAAGCTGGGAGAGAAGTCCTCCAGGCTTTTCCACCTGTCCCCGCTTGATCTCAGGAGGGGTAGCCAGGCCCCAGCAGGCCCACTGAGTATGAATGGGGAGGTGGAGAAGGGGGGAGATTTAAACCCCCACCTTGGCCTGCACAGCCCCCACTGAGCTGATGCAGCGGGCAGAGAGGGGGGTTTAAAACCTTCTCCCTTCCCTCCGCATCGGCGTACTGACCTGGGGCCAGTATCTGGCCATGCCTCCTGCCCCCTCCGCTCCAGTGATGAGCAGCAAAAAGCCTGGCGGGGGCTGCTGCGCCCCTGCCAAGCAGACCCCAGCTGGGATTCCATGCCAGTGGGAGAGGGGGTTTAAACCCCCTTCCCTCCACTTCAGGTTCTGGCTAAAAGCCACTTCTCCCCATTCTGCCAGCCTGGCTCACGTTCTGGCCACCCCCTACCCTCACTCCAGTGGAGGAAAAGCCTGTGAGGGGCTGTTCTGCCCCTGCCAGGCAGACCCAGCTGCAGTCCCAAGCTGGGTTTTCCACCCCCACCCCTTCCCAGCCAGTCAGAGCAGTGACAGTGCCCAGGTAAGGAGCAGAGGGGTGGGACCAACCCTGCTCCACTGGAGCAGACAGCACAGCCCAGCACTGCAAAGCGTTCTGGGATACTGGGGGACTGCGAGTTAACTTGAACCAGGAGGGGGTCTGGGACAGAAGTTCCATAGCTGATTTAGGTCAAACCAGTTTAAGTCTGATACTACATTCAACCAGGTTTATCTTAAATGAGTTTCAGTCATTTTGAAAGTGGTTCGTGTGCACTGAGCTTCTGTTCAGTTACAGGTTTAAACCAGTTTCTGATCACTTAAACTGGTTTATGTATAACTTCTGTCCCTAGCCTCTACAGCTGTGTATTTAAGAATTATCAAGGAACATGTGCTCCTTTTTAATAAGTGCAAGTCTGAGTAGCAGTCTAAGGCCATGTACAGGCATTACATGTCATACTGTAGCTCCCCTGGTAGAAACTACAAGCATACAGGCATTCACACAGTTTGTTCACTCCTGGAACAAAAATGGTGGTTCTGAGAGACAAGCAACTCATCTTCAACCTGGAAGATGTTGCTCCCAGGACAGTTTCTTCCAGGAGAATGAATACCTGTACAATCCCCTGCTGTTTGACTCCTCCCAGGGACTAGGTGAAGTTGAGTGGTAGGAAAATGCTCCCTGCACCTTCCCAAAACCATGGTCACCCTGGTCTGGGGAGCTCACAGGTAGTGGCTGCTGCTTGACTACTCCCATGCCGGGAGGAGTCAAGCAGTGGGGAAAGGCTCCCATGCTTTCCCCAGACCAGGGTGACCCCAGTCTGAAGACAAATAGGCCAGTTGCTCCCACCCCTCCCACACTGTTGTCTCCTTCGCCACCTCTTACACCAAGAATTTCCTTCCTCTGTATACTGAAGGACCACCCTGCTCTCCACTCCAGTGATTCATCATGAATTCAAAGATAGAAGAAATGGAAAGTCACTATACTCCTTTAAAAGTCAAGTATCACCTCCCCCTCACACTTGAAGTACATTGTCTAAGCCCCTTGGCAGAAGAACTGTACTTTTCCTGCGCTGCACAGTACAGAGCATGACAAGAGACATATTCTTCTCAGAATTACACACATTCTTGCTAACACTGCAAAAAGGTAAGCCAATGGCATTCTGGCTCATTTCAGTCCCATTAAAATGTGTGGTGAGGAAGGAGAAAAGTCAACACAGTATTTGCCAAATTGAGAGGATCAAAACTGTTTGGGGAAAAGAACTTCTACTTTCAAGCTTCAAAAGAAGACATCAGAGAACAGGACAGGACTGTGAAAAATACGTTAAAAAACTAATGTATATTTATAAAACAGATGACTTGCTGGAGACCAAAAGCAGCTAAAAAAATAGCACTTCTACATAGAAATCCGGGCAGCGTATCTGCTCACTTCAGCTCTTTAAAGGGGCTGCTCTATGAAGCAAGACAATTAATCTGCTTTAGCAATTTTCATTTTTCTGAAGAGGAATCTGATCCTCTTACGAAACACCTATAGTTTCTGATTCGGGTAGGTAGGGTTGCTGTGCGTCTGCTTAGCAAGTTTCCAAAATGATCAGAAAAACCCTAGTCGGAGGGTTGTTTGAAAAAAAGTCATTTTTATTCTACAGTTTAAGAGAGAAAAAAAAAAAATCATCGGGCCACACATTTCTGAATGTTGATTATACATAATCGAATACAGATCAAGCTAGATTCATTCAAAAAGAATCACTTCCACATTAAGGCTACATCAAGCTCCACATCCTGGA